TTGATTACAGAATCAGGACCCTGATAATGGAAATAGAGAAGACATTTAAAAATATTTATTTTTAAAAATTTACACTTAAGCACTGTACATTTTTACAGTGTACAGCATGTTTTTCCCAGCATAAATACAAGTGTATATTAGTCAAGTCAAAGACAATACCATATACACTATCATCAGCAGATAATTTTTCATTTTTATGCCTATTAAATGTGTTGTTTTTTTCCCTGATCCCCTCCCTCCTGTCCTCTGTTACTCACTTGCTATTACCTTCCATACTGTCTCTAATATCCTCCACCTTTCACTTTCCACTATAAAGGTCAGACATTTGGTATATGTTGAGTAGGGACATACAATGCCTGTCTTTCATAGTCTGGCTTGCTTTACTTAGCATTAAATCTTCCATATTCATCCACTTTATATCATTTGTCATTTTACAGTGAATATTGTAAATGCAGACTTGGGGAGAGACAACAAACTCAGAAATTTTTTTTTTCAGAGGTTCTTATCTTCTTTAAAATTTGTCTAATATATTTTAAAAATTACATTTAATTTAATAAAAAAACTTTGGATGCTAAATTTCCTAACATCACAATAATTCTCAACTGTCATTTAGATTAAGTACAAATGCCTGTTTAAATAATTTGTATTTGAGATCCTGATTCCTTATACACATATGACATAAAGAAATAACTAACAACTTCTGACAATGAGATATTTAATCTTAGTTTCTATTGATTTCAACATAATAAAACGCTGGTACATTTCCTGGCATTAGGGACTGGGAAAATGAAGGGTAATTCCCACGTTCCCTTTCGATTCTATTCAGAAAAAAAAATCAGGTGAATCAGGACAGGAGTTAGACTTTAAACTAGAATAACAAAGCAATGTTTCTGATTTATACAGTTTTCAACTTACTTTCAAATGTTCTTTCTGAAATACATTTACGTCTGATGGATATTGGGCAGGAGAAGAGGTCTGGGGAGAAAGCGTAGTCAGAGAATGGAGAAGGTCAGTGGAACCAAGGACTTAGAATTATAGAAGCAAACAAGCAAAACAAACAAACAAAAAGCCAAGAATGAAAAAAAGCCCACAGATATTTAAATCTTCCAAATTTCCTTTGACTGGGCAAGGATTAGGAAGAATTTCATCACAGAGAACCAGTATTAATGACTCTGAAGTCAGAAATTTAGTCTTGAAATATCGTTCCTGCCGTTAAGGAACTAATAAAGATAAAATGCCTAAAAAAATAAAAGAACTAAGAGAGAATATAGAGCTCTTTGTATTAGGAATAAGCAGTCATATAAAATCAGAGTGGGAGTTACTGTTTTAAAGTCTATTTCTTTGCATGACAGAGAGGAAAAAGCGAGACAGAGAAAAATAAACACCCTCAATTGGGTTTCACACCCTCAATAGGGTCTCAGCATGACACTCTATGGTGGCTTTCCTAGCCAGCCACCATCATGTGGCTGGTGCATAGGGGTCAACCCAGAAACGAAACCCCAGTCATTTACATGGCTTCCAATATGGAAGAACATTGTGCTACTCCTGTGCTACTGCAGTTGGGCCAGGAGTTACTGTTTTAAATTATAGAAGATACACAGAGTAACTAAACTCTAGAAGATACATAGTGTAATTTTGTGTCACAAGAATGTTCATTTTAAATTTTTGTAGTGTCCAAATGAGAGTTTGTCAGGTAGTGGGCTCCTCCATTCAGTATTAATCATGATTGGGGCTCCCTCCACTTGTCAGTAATCTGGCTGGGGTATGAGGCTCCATAGTGAGCAAAACCCTTTCCTTTCCATCCAGGGTCACACTCCTGGGATGTGACATCATCACTAGATGACTATTGACATGGATATTTTGGGAGGAAACATCAAGATTCCTTTCAGTCTCTTTAAGAAGACAAAATTGGTGTTGGCAGGTGGCATGGACTCCCATATGGCTGACTGTGGTTCGAGTCCCAGACCTGGTGATTGCTTATTTACTTTCCCTTTCTCTCTTTCTGTCTCTCTCTGGTAAGTGCATATGCCCTGTAGCAAATTAAAAACTAACTAATTAATTAATTAAACTTAATAATTCTTTTTATAAAAGAAGACAAGATTCCTTTCAATCTCTTTGAGAAGACAAGATACTTTCTTTTTAGAAACTCACTTTATTTAACTTTATTTACTTTTATTATTATCAAAAGAATTATTTACTTTATTTTATTTGTTATTATTCTTTTTTAATTTTATGAGAGAGAGAGAGAGAGAGAGAGAGAGAGAGAGAGAGAGAGGGAG